CAAACCCTGGCTCTTCTGCTCTGAGCAAGCCTCCTGCTGATACTCCTAGAAAGGCAGTGGAAAAAGGCCCAAGTGTTTGAGAGCCTTCCACCCAAATGAGAGACCACGTTCAAGTTCCAAGTTCCTGGTTTTGGCATGGTCCAGACCTGGCTGTTGCAGTCTCTTGAGAGCAAGCAGAAGCTAACCTGAAGATTTCTTTCTCAGTCTCTGTCTCACTCTGCCTTTCAACTGAATAATTATCTTTGGGGGAAAAAATCATGCATTGAATTTCAGTTGTCACAATCAATATGAACTCATAGTTTTTCTTTTCGTAAGTTAAAAAACTGAACTGTAACACATGTAAATGTATACCCCCATATCCCTTCACGTTACAGAACAGAATCATACGATATGTTCTTTTATAGTTTGCTTCTTTTGCCCAAAATTATGCTTTGAGGTTTATCAGTACTGTTGCTCAGTCAGGCTATCCATTTTCATTGCAGTAAGGTTGGTTTAGATGTTTATTTCTGCAGGAAAGCATAAGAAAGCTGACTATAAAACACAATACCACATCCAGGGAAATGTACCTTGCACCCACCCTCCAACAGCTAACCACTTTGCGGAAGGTCTGACTTTCCACATTTGTAGTCACCTATTTTGGTTAGAATAACTGCTTAATTGGGTTCACAGACAGTAAAACTTACCTGGTAAAATGTGCTTCAGATACACTAGATTAAGTAAAATCTAACTCTCAGTACTTCATTCTTTGGACAAACAAGTTTTCTTTAAAAATGTATTATAATACACAGTACTTAATGTATGCTCATTTAACCAAAGAACAATTTTTAACATATTATCAAGTGTTACTGTTTTCTGGGAAATGGTTCCAAATACTACTAAAGTTTCCAATTCCAGGGCCACTATTGTGATGACATACCAGGTAAAGCAGTAGCCTGCAATGCTGACATCCCATATGGGCACCAGTTCACGTCCTACTGCTCCACTTCCGATCTGGCTCCCTGCTAGTGGCCTGGGAAAGCAGAAGATGGCCCAACTGCTAATGGCCTAGGAAAGCAGCAGAAGATGTCCTAAGTGCTTGGGCCACTGCCACCCACAAGGGAAACCTTGATGAAGCTCCTGGCTTCAGCATAACCCAACCCTGGCCATTGTAGCCATCTGGGGAGTGAACCAATGAAAAGACCTCTCTCTGTCTCTTCTCCTCTCTATGTAACTCTTTCAAAAAAAGAACTCTTAAAAAAATTCACATTCCATTTAAGAAATGCTGGATTAACTGTCATATTTTGAAGATCTCACTATTTGGGAGTAGAAACATTGAAATTTCACTTGCTATTAAAGAAAAACTGAAAGATCAATCACGTAGTGATGCTATACACTGGTTACAGCTTCCCAAAGCAGGGAAATGCAATTGAAATGGATGACTGCAGTGGAAACATTGAAGTCTGATTGATGTCATCAATATAAACTGCTTTTATTACTTTTGAGAAGGTAATTTAAGTGTTGGGCTATAATTTTGCATTCATAGAATCCAGCCCACTCTTGAATATATATATATATATATATATATATATATATATATATATAATCTAAGAAAAATCAGCAAGAATTAGAAATATATTGGGACTGGATCACACTTCTTTCACTTTCATGATCTAAGGGTCAGAAGCCTAAAATCAAGGTGATAACTAAAGTGAGATATAACATACCCAAGATTTTACACACCAACAATCTTCAATTATCTATTTAAATAAATCTGCTGGAACAATTTGCTAGTATAAGTTAGAATGAGATTTCTCTTCATAAGGAAAACATCTAGATTTTGTTTTTGTGGGCCTTCCTTGTATAGTTTTATAATTGATAGTTAGTCTTGTAGATTAACATGGTAGGAAAAAACCTGATAGAATTATTCAAAGTTTTTTCTTGAAAAAGAATGACTCTAAATATATATATTTTTAGAAAGAATATCTTTTTTTAAAAAAGATTTTATTTATTTGAAAGAGTTACAGAGAGAGGCAGACCCAGAGAGAGAGAGAAAGATCTGGTTCACTCCCCAGATGGCCGCAACAGCGGGAGCTGTGCCGATCCAAAGCCAGGAGCCAGGTGCCTCCTCTTGGTCTCCCATAAAGGTGCAGGGGCCCAAGGACTTGGGCCATCTTCTACTGCTTTCCCAGGCCATAGCAGAGAGCTGGATCAGAAGTGAAGCAGCTGGGACTCAAACTGGTGCCCATATGGGATGCTGGTGCTACAGGCCAGAACTTTAACCCACTGTGCCATAGCGCCGGCCCACAATACCTTTTTTTTTTTTTTTTTTTTTTTGACAGGCAGAGTGGAGAGAGGGAGAGACAGAGAGAAAGGGCTTCCTTTGCCATTGGTTCACTCTCCAATGGCTGCCGCGACTGGCGCACTGCGCTGATCCGATGGCAGGAGCCAGGTACTTATCCTGGTCTCCCATGGGGTGCAGGGCCCAAGCACTTGGGCCATTCTCCACTGCACTCCCTGGACACAGCAGAGAGCTGGCCTGGAAGAGGGGCAACCGGGACAGAATCCAGCGCCCCGACCAGGACTAGAACCCGGTGTGCTGGCGCCGCAAGGCGGAGGATTAGCCTAGTGAGCCTCGGCACCGGCCCAAGAATACCTTTTAAGTCTTAATGTTTCTCCTGTTTTTGGTCTACTCAGGTTTTCTTCAGCATCTTGAGTCAATGTTGACATTTCTTTCCAGAAAAAATTCTATATTTTTGGATATTTTCAAATACATGTATATTATAAATACACACATTATATATACATAGGATAGCAAAATTTTAATTTGAAAAATCTATAGCTGACATTTTAAGTATTCACATAGTTGTAACTGTCTTTTTTTTCAATATTTTATTTATTTGAGAGGTAGAGTTACACTGAGAGGGAGAGAAAGATCTTCCTTCCGTTGGTTTACTCCCCAGATGGCTGCAATGGCTGATCCAAAGCCAGGAGCCAGGTGCTTCTTCCTGTTCTCCGATGTGGGTGCCGGGGCCTAAGCACTTGAGCCATCTTCTACTGCTTTCCCAGGCCATACCAGAGAGCTGGATTGGAAGAGAAGTAGCCGGGACTAGAACCGGCGCCCATATGGGGTGCTGGCACAGCAGGCAGAGGATTAACCTACTGTGCCACGTTGCTGGCCCCTCTCCTTCTTTTTTTTTTTTAATGTTATTTGAGAGAAAGGTAGATCTCCCATCCATTGGTTCACTCCCCAAAGGTTCTCCAACAGCTGGTGCTGGGTTAGGTCAGAGCTGGGTTTTCCACAAGGATGCCAGAAGCCCAAGTTCAGCCATCATCTGCTGTCTCCCAGTGCACACATTAGCAGGAGGCTGGAATCAGGAACACAGCAGACTTGAGCCTGAACACGATGATACAGAACACAGGCATCCCAGACACTGTCTTACCCACTAAACCAAACACCTGCCCCTTTGTAAGCTTTCTTACTTGCTTTCCTTGATGAAATCTGCCAAGGTCTTGGGTATATTGGTTTGGCCAGTCTACTTTCTTATTGTTTATACCAGTACTGACTATAGAAGTAAATAAACCACATACATAATTATTTTTAATTTTTAATTTTCCAGGCATCACATTTAAAAATACAATGAGGGGCCAGCATCATGGCATAGAGGGTTAAGCCTTTGCCTGTGGTGCTAGCATTCCATACAGGCTCTGGTTCAATTCCTGGTTACTCTACTCCCTATCCAACTCCCTGTTAACACACCTGGAAAAGCAGTAAAAGATGGCCCAAGTGCTTGAGCCCTTGCACCCACATGGGAGACCTGAAAGAAGCTCCTGGCCCCTGGCTTTAACCTGGCCATTAAGGACATTTGAGGAGTGAATCAGATGGAAGTTCTCTCTCTCTCTCTGTAACTCTGCCTTCCAAATAAAATGTTTGAATAAACAAAAATACAATAAATTTTAAATACATCATATCAAAATGTATAATGTATTGAACCAATATATCTAAAAACATTATTTCAATATGTACTCTGAAAAACTGAGTCTTACTATTTTTCTTTAAAACTAAGATGTCCAGTAAAGCTACCGCCTGCAGTGCCGGCATGCCACATGGGCACCAGTTCAAGTCCCAGCTGCTCCACTTCCGATCCAGCTCTCTGCTATGGCCTAAGTCCATGGGCCCCTGCACCCACATGGGAAACACAAAGGAAGCTCCTGGCTTTTGATCGGCACAGCTCCAGCTGTTGTGGCCATCTGGGAAGTGAGCCAGCAGATGGAAGATGTCTCTCTCTGCCTCTCTAATAAATAAATAAATCTTTAAAAATAAATAAAAGTAAGTTGCCGTGGGGCTGGTGCTGTGGCATAGCAGATAAAGCCACCACCTGCAGTGCCAACATCCCATATAGGCTGCTCTGCTTCCAATCCAGCTTTCTGGTATGGCCTGGGAAAGCAGTGGAGGATGGCCCAAGTGCTTAGGCCATTGTACCCATTTGAGAGACCCAGAAGAAGCTCCTGGGTGCTGGCTTCGTGTCAGCCCAGCTCCAGCAGTTGCGGCCATTTGGGAAGTGAACCAGCAGATGGAAGATCTCTCTCTGCCTCTGCCTCTCTATAACTCTGCCTTTCAAATAAATAAATAAGTCAAAAAAAAAAAAAAAACTAAGTTGTTGAAATAAGAGTACTATGTTTTACATTTAGCACTTTCAGTTTGGACTGATCACATTTCAAACGCTCATTACCTCAATTTCTAGTGACCAACATGACTACCATATTTGACACTGCAGATCTTGTCCATTAATTTCCACATTTAGTTACAGTAACTGTTTGCCTGTATTTATTCTTTGAACATGGAGTGACTACTATGGGACAGGTACTAAAATAGAAACAGAGATAGGAGTTGAAGTGGGAAAGTCTAGACTCAATCTTAACTTCCTGAACACATTATAGTGCATTTACTATCCTAAATTTTAAGCTTTGGAAACATCCACAAGTTTTGGTATATAGGCATTTTAAATAAATCACACTTCAAACTGGTTGAACTTTCAAGTTTAATTTCATATTTAAAAGATTATAGAAATTTTTAAACACATAAAAATTCTTAAAAAAGAGAATAACTAAAATGAAATAAAACCTATGTACTCAGTTCACCATGATTCTGCCATACTTAATCTACTTTTTCTTCTGCATGAGCATTTTAAAGGATATTTCAGACATCATTTCAAATATCATTTCAGATCTCTACCAAACATTTTAAAAACATAAGCATGATGCTACTATCAGACATAACAAAACAGTTATCTAATACTATTAACATTCTTATCTCCCAATTATTGTAAAAATTACTTACTTTACAATCAGTTAATTCATGATCTAAATAAGAATGAATTTTTCATTGCAATTGATTGATGTCTCCTATATCTCTTTCAGTATCTAAGAGTCCCACCTCCTTTTTTCAGTGTCATTTTATTGGTTGAGATACCATGTCATTCCTCTTGTAGAATTACCTACAATTTAGATTTAATTGCTTCTTTTTATGCCATGTAATTTGGTCTTCCATTCTCTCATTTTCTTTAAACTTGGAATTAGATCCTGAAGCTTAAATTCAGGTTCAATATTTTTGGCAAGATGTGTACATCTTCTTGAATCACAGTAGGAGCATGTTTTATTGTCCTACTTTTTGTGAGGTTAAGATTGATCAGTGGGTTCAAATGATTTGAGCCTGATCTATTCACTATGAAATCCATGTCAACCTTCCATTTAATGGTCTTAACACCTAATCAGAATTGTGTCTAGATCTATTATTATATGTTACAGAATGGTTTTCCTAATAGAATTCTCTAATTCTATTTCTACATTCATTAGCTGGAATTCTCTAATCAAGAATTTTACCTCATTAACTTCTGGTTGTCCTGAAATACAGTTTATATAGGAAATGCAGACTAAATGTCTTTTCTTTCCTTTTATTCATCAATTTTCAGAATGAGCTGTACCCTGGCAATCTCCATAGATATACTAAACAGATGGAAGGATATAAAGATGGTAATAGTTAAGATAAAAAAATTTTCCTCATTCATTCCTCAAATACAGTTGCTTTCCAGAATGACTTCTGAAGTTCAACATGGCTTAAGAGGTGGTGACCGGCTTCTACATACTCATTAAATTAACACATTCTTCTTTCTTTTAAAGAAAACCTCTTATGCCAAGTTAGTTTTGAGTACGAAGCAAAAGGGATTCCTACATTCTAAACTTTTCTTCTAGAATGTATTTCCTAATGCTGTTTAACACAAAATTCACAATGGGAAGATTCTCATAATTAAGTTACATTATGAATTCGCTGATGGTAAGTAAGGTGTGAATGCTGTCTAAAGGCCTTCTTACATTCCTTACATTTGTATGGCTTCTCCCCAGAATGAATTCTCTGATGTTGAATAAGTGATGAATGAAGTCTAAACGCCTTCCCACACTCCTTACAGTCATAAGGTTTCTCACCAGTATGAATACTCTGATGTTGAGTAAGCTGTGAGAGCAACCTAAACGTCTTCTCACAATCCTTACATTTATAGGGCTTCTCACCAAAATGAATGCTCTGATGTTGAGTAAGCTGTGAGAACAGCCTAAAGGCCTTCCCGCATTCCTTACATTCATAAGGTTTCTCTCCAATATGAATACCCTGGTGTGAAATAAGTTCTGAATAACGACGGAAGAACTTCTGGCATTCTTTACACTCATAAGGTTTCTCTCCAGTGTGAATTCTCTGATGGAGAGTTAGATGATAGCCACGACTAAAGGTCTTCCCACACTCCTTACATTCATAGGGCTTCTCGCCAGTGTGAATCCGCTGGTGGAGCGTGAGCTGCTGCCGCACTCTAAAGGCCTTTCCGCACTCTTTGCAGTCATAGGGTTTCTCACCAGTGTGAAGTTTGTGATGCACTCGGAGGCCTGTGCTACACAGAAAGGCCTGACCACACTCCTTACACTCATAGCACTTCTCAGCAATGTTAAGTCTCTGATGTCGGGTAAGGTGTGCATACTGCCTAAAGGTCTTCCCACATTCCTTACACTCATAGGGTTTCTCACCAGTGTGAATCCTTTGATGAAGATTAAGCTGTCCTCGCACTCTAAAGGCCTTCCCACATTCCTTACACTCATAGGGCTTCTCACCAACATGACTTCTCTGATGTACTCGAAGGTCTGAGCTACACGTAAAAATCTTTCCACATTTTTTACATTCATAGAGTTTGTCAGAAGCATGAATTCTCTGATGTCGGCTAAGGTGGGCACACTGTCTAAAGGCTTTTCCACATTCTTTACATTCATAAGGTTTCTCACCAGTATGAATTCTCTGATGAAAAGTAAGCTGCTGGCGGACTCTAAAAGCCTTCCCACAGACCCCACACTCATAAGGTTTTTCTCTATTATGAGTTTTCTGACACAGAGTAAGAGATGCTAGTTTTCTGTAAGTGGGCACTTTTGCAGGGGTGGTTTTTGTCACTTGCCTGAAATGTATCGTGTAGGGACGACCCTCTTGTCCCTCAAACTGTTTATATTCACAACCTTTTCCAAGAAAGGAGTCATCAAGGCCACGACTTTTAACTCTTTCCATTATTTCCCACTGAGATAATTTCATTTCATAATTATCTTTCTCTTGAAATAATTTTTTAGTGTCATACCTGGATTCCAAATCTGAAAGAAAACAAGACAAACACATGGTATATTCCTATTCTAGAGAAAATAAAGAAGCAAATAAAAACTTAATAGAAAAAAAAGCATAACACAAAATAAAGCCTAGTTGAAGTAAATGGACTAAGAAAATCTAAAATAATTATGCAATTCAAAAAAGAGCAGAGAAGAACAAAGAAAATCATGAGTTAAGACCAAATTAGTAGGATGCAAAACAATATCTAAGAATCCTTACTTACCTGTTCAATGCCTTCATAAACATGTTTTAATAAATCACATCTTAAAATACATCCCCTCTTTTGTATCTGCCTCCCTTTTACAGCAAACTTCTTCTAAAGAATTGTTGATACTTATTTTTATCACTGCCCCACATCTCATTTTTCTTTTCATCTCTCAATAACTCTGTAACAGGGATGGAGAACCTTTATTCTGCCGAAGGCCATATGCATATTTATGACATTATTCATAGGCCATACAAAATTATCAACTTAAAAGTAAGCCTACTAGGGGTTAGCACTGTGGCATAGTGGGTAAAGCTGCTGCTTATGGTGCCGGCATCCCATATGGATGCTGGTTCAAGTCCTGGCTGTTCTACTTCCAAATCCAGCTCGCCCCTATGGCCTGGGAAAGCAGAGGATGGCCCAAGACCTTGGGCCCCTGCACCCACATGGGAGACCAAAAAGAAGCTCATGACTCCTGGATTTGGATCGGCCCAGCTCTGGCCATTGCAGCCATTTGGGGAGTGAACCAGTGGATGGAAGACCTCTCTCTCTGCTTTTAAAATAAATGAAATAAATCTTTATTAAAAAAATAAGCCTGCTATAGATTTACTGATTTTCAATTCCCACCTGAGGTTGCCTCGGGAGGCAGGTCCTGACCCAAATAATTTCTCAGGCCTTATACATCCCAAGAGTCAGACCTTCCTTAACCCTACTCCAAAGCAAAAGAAAACTTTGTTACACACTGTTTCTAACATACTAAAAGGTAAACATAATAGTTTATTAAGTCTCCATGTATTGAGCACCAACAATCATCAACCCATGCCCAATCCTGGCCTGTGTACAGCCCAATCTGCTCTCCTCCCATTATTTGAAACAAATACCAGATATTATCTCATTGTAGTCATACTTATTTCAGTATTAATCTCCAAAAAGATTTTTAAGCACAACCACAATACCATTATTCAAACCTAAAAAAATGTATAACATTTCTTTATATCATCAAATATGTGTTTATACTTCCAAGTATCTGATATATGATAATTCATGAAGCAAAATCCATCTTTAACATATAACTTTTAATCTATATTTTCTCTTAACAATCTTTTTACCTCCCTTGTAATTTATTTGTTGAAGAAACTATTTTTAGTCCTATAGTTCCTCATACTCTGAATTTCATTAACTATATTTGGGAATGTAGAACATTTCCTCTTTTTCCCATGAATATTGGGTTTAGAAACTTGATGAGACACAGGACCAATTTTGTTGACAAGGGTACTTCATATGTGATATTGAGGTCTTTCATTAGGAGAAAAATAATGTCTGACTGTCTCTAGTTCTATGGTTTTATCAACCTTAATATTCAATATTTAGATCCAATAGTTTATTATGTGTTCCAAAGTGGTAGTATTCTGTCATTCCTTCTTCATTTACTCACTGAATAATTTTATTAAAAGAAACATATACCCATCTCTTAACCTACTGGTACAGTTCTTAAAAGAAAGGTATGATAAATGCTTCTTTACATTCATGTGATTCAGATAAGTTAGTTTTCTAGTACCTTCTAATAGTAAATAATTTTCTATGGGCATCATTAAGAATTAATGGAATTAAGTACATTTTATGTGTGGCAATACATTATAGCTACTGCAGGAATTGATGCTCAGATGGTCCTGTCAGAGCCTCTAAACTGGCTCCTCTTCCTTGACCATCCTATCTAAAATGAGCCCCCCCAAATAAATAAAGAGAGGGACCGGCGCCATGGCACAGTTGATTAATCCTCTACCTGTGGGGCTGGCATCCCATATGGGCTCCGGTTCTAGTCCCAGCAGCCCCTTTTCCAACCCAGCTCTCTGCTATGGCCTGGGAAAGCAGTAGAAGATGGCCCAAGTGCTTGGGCCCCTGTACCTGCATGGGAGACCAGGAAGAAGCATCTGGCTCCTGGCTTCAAATTAGCACAGCTCCAGGAATTGCGGCCATCTGGGGAGTGAACTAGTGGATGGAAGACCTTTCTCTCTGTCTCTCCCTCTCACTGTCTGTAACTCTACCTCTCAAATAAATAAAATCTTTAAAAAATTTTAAAAAAATACATAAAATGACCCCATTCACTCTGTATAATTCCTCATGTTCTTGCCTTATTTGCCTTTCTTCTTAACATCTAATCATTTCAGGATATTTAGTAACCTACTTATTTGCTTTTTCCTATGTCTTCCTGACTAAAATGCCAGTTCATGAAAGCAATGAAGAAAAAATACCTAAAGTCAAAATATGAAAGAAGAACTTGAAAGGAACTGAATTCAAATTATAGGTACAATGGTTATCACTGGGGAAGAAAGCTTTTGCCTACTGAAACGGGAGGAAAGCACATTTGAGAGAGATGAAATTTCTTTGATAGCTCACGCTGAGATCTGTTTTCTTCCCAAGAGTCAGGATTCCTCTTCACAACCAACATCTGAGGGGCTTCCTCCCCAACTAGCAGGTCTGTGCCACACTATGATGGTTTACCTCTGCCTGGTTAGGACTTACTCACCTAGGCTCCATCTTCTTTTCTCACCCCTCACAACCATCCAGGGCTCTTTCCCTTGTTCCAATAGAGTAATCAAATCTGGCTTAGAAATAGAGCATCCTGTTTGAGAGAAAATGACAGAAAATAAAAATCCAACAATGTATTTGATATTGCCTTCAGAACACAAATGGTTGTCAGGACTGAAAAAAACATGTTACAGTTACTTTAAGGTCACAACGAAAAACAGGAACAGAGAGGTAGGTACATGGTCTTATTTTAATTTAAACTCATACAAGCTTTTCCTTTTGAAGAGTAAGTAATACTTAAGAGCATTGATTTCAAATTCTGCCTGTAACCTTAGTCACTAGAGAAATGATTAAATCTCTCTATGCTTCAGTTTTCTTAGTTGTAAAGGGTGGATAATAGTACTATGTATATACAGGATTGTTGTAAGGTTTGATTTAATACAAGTGTATAGTACAAAGTAAGTATTATTTATATTATTAGGTGCTATTTCCTGATAGTTTGTTAAGAGGAAAATACTAAGTTATTTGCCAGTATACTCTTTCGATGTTTAATGCAAAGTTCATGTATTTTAAGCTTTTTCACCACAAAGCAGTCAAAAGATAGCATGTCTGTTATAACAAACTGAATATGGGGGCAGGCACTGTGGCATAGCGGGTAAAGCCACTGCCTGCAGTGCCAGCATCCCACATGGATGCCGATTTAAGTCCAAGCTGCTCCACTTCCCATCCAGCTCTCTGCTATAGCCTGGGAAAGCAGTGGAACATGGCCCAGGACTTTGGGCCCCTGCACCTGCATGGGAGACCCGGAAGAATCTCCTGGTCCTGGCTTCAGATTGGCACAGCTCCAGCTGTTGCGGCCAATTGGGGAGTGCGCCAGCAGATGGAAGACCTCTCCCTGCCTCTCTTTCTCTGACTTTCAAATAAATAAATAAATCTTTAAAAAAAGAGGTACCACAATTAAGATGTCTGGTGAATCAGAAGTAGAAAAATGCAAAAAAAAAAAAAAAAAAGAAACTGAATATGTCCACCTAAGTTTTAACAAATTGTTTATTGAATCCAGCATCATACACATTGTATAAGCTGCTTTTTATACAGAAAAAATACTATGGGGGGTCAGCATTGTGATACCATGAGTTAAGCTACCACTTAAAATGCTGGCATCCCATGGTGGAGCACCCGTTTGAGTCCCCACTGATTTGCTTCTGATTCAGTTCCCTGCTAGTGCACTTGGGAAAGCAGTGAAAGATGGCCCAAGTGCTTGGGCCCCTGCCATCCCTATGAGAAACCTGGATGGAGTTCTTGGCTCTTGGCTTTAGCTTGGCCCAGCCCTGACAGTTACAGCCATTTAGGGAGTGAATCAACAGATGGAAGACCTCTGTCTCTCCCTCTCTGTCTTTCAAATAAATAAATCTTTTTTTTTTTTTTTTTTAAAGTTCATGGAGGGCCAGCGCCATGGCTCACTTGGTTAATCCTCTGCCTGCAGCGCCGGCATCCCACAATGGGCGCCTGGTTCTAGTCCAAATTGCTCCTCTTCCAGTCCAGCTCTCTGCTGTGGCCCAGGAGGGCAGTGGAGGATGGCCCAAGTGCTTGGGCCCCTGCACCCGCATGGGAGACCAGGAAGAAGCACCTGGCTCCTGGTTTCAGACTGGCGCATCACCGGCCGTGGCGGCCATTTGGGGAGTGAATCAACGGAAGGAAGACCTTTCTCCCTGCCTCTCTTTCTCACTGCTTATAACTCTACCTGTCACATAAATCAATAAACAAAAGTTCATGGAAGGGGCCGGAATAGTGGTGCAGCAGGTTAAGCTGTAACCTGTAACGCTGGCATCACATATGGGTAACTGGTTTGAGTTCTGGCTGCACCACTTCTGATCCAGCTCCCTGCTAATACATCTGCGAAAGGAGTGAAAGATGGCCCAAGTCCTTGGGCCCCTTCCATCCACACTGTAACAGATGAAGCTCCTGGTTTCTGGCTTCAGCCTGGCCCATTCTGGCTGCTGTGGCCATTTGGGGAGTGAACCGGTGAAGGGAAGATCTAACTCTGCCTTTCAAATTAATTAGTTAATTTTTAAAAAGTTAATGGAAAATGGAACGAAAAGATAATTTTTTTTTTTTTTTGGACAGACAGAGTGGACAGTGAGAGAGAGAGACAGAGAGAAAGGTCTTCCTTTGCCATTGATTCACCCTCCAATGGCTGCCGCGGCCGGCGCACCACGCTGATCCAATGGCAGGAGCCAGGTGCTTCTCCTGGTCTCCCAAGCACTTGGGCCATCCTCCACTGCACTCCCTGGCCATAGCAGAGAGCTGGCCTGGAAGAGGGGCAACCGGGACAGAATCCGGCGCCCTGACCGGGACTAGAACCTGGTGTGCATGCGCCATAGGCGGAGGATTAGCCTAGTGGGCCGTGGCACCGACCATGAAAAGATAAATTTCAATAAAATTTTTGGCAGATATTGTGTTACATGGGTTAATTCATCAGCTGGGACACCCACATCCTCTATCAGAGTGTCTGGGATCAAGTCCTGCCTCTGCCTCTGATGCGACTTCCTGCTAATACCCATTCTACGAGGCAGCAGACAATGGCTGAAGTACCTGGGTTCCTGCCACCCATGTGGGAGACCCAGATGGAGTTCCTGGCCCCTGGCTTTAGCCTGGCCCAGTCCTAGCCATTGCAGGCATTGGGAGTGAACTAGATATATGGAAGATCTCTGTCTGTCTCTCCCTCTGTCACTCTGTCTATCAAATAAATAAATCCATCTTTTTATAAAGGTGCTTTTTTATTATTAAAGATTTTATTTATTTATTTATTTGAGAGGCAGAGTTACAGACAGAGTGGAAGACAAAGGCAGAAAGGTCTTCCGCTGGTTCACTCCCTAAATGAACACAACAGCCAGAGCTGGACCAATCTGAAGCCAGGAGCCAAAAGCTTCTTCCTGGTCTCCCACATGGGTGCAGGGGCACAAGGACTTGAGCCATCTTCTACTGCTTTCCTAGGCCATAGCGGAGAGCTGGATCGGAAGAGGAGCAGTGGGACACGAACTGGGGAGTGAATATAGGATGTCCATATAGGACGCCAGCACCACAGGCAAGGGCTTAGCCTACTATGCCACAGCGCCAGCCCCTAAAGTTACTTTTAAAAAAAGAATGATTTATTTATTTGAAGGTCAGAGTTACATATAGAGAGGCAGAGACAGAGAGAGAGAGAGATCTTTTATCTTCTGGTTCACTTCCCAGATGGCTGCAATAGCTGTGGCTGGGCCAGGCCAAAACCAGAAGCCAGAAGCGTCTTCCTGGTCTCCCACACAGAAGCAGGGGCCTAAATACTTAGGCCATCTTCTGCTGCTTTCCCAGGCCATTAGCGGGGAACTGGATTAGAAGTGGCCCCCATAAAGGCTTTTGGTATGACAAGGAGAGAGCACAAAAAGAGACAAAAACAGGGAGAGGTCCCATCTACTGATGGCTGGGGCTGGGCCAGAGTTGAAACCAGGAGGTCTCCCAGATGGGTGGCAGGAACCCAATTACTTAAGTTATCACTACTGCCTCCCAGCGTAGGCATTGGCAGGAAGCTGGAATCAGGAGCCAAGTGTCCCAACTGCTATGCTAAATGTCCACTCCTTGTATAAACTCTTTCAAACAGATATATGGAAGGGCCGGTGCTGTGGCACAGCGGGTTAAAGCCCTAGCCTGAAGCGCGAGCGTCCCATGTGGACGCCAGTTCTGGTCCAGGCTGTTCCTCTTCTGATCCAGCTCTCTGCTATGGCCTGGGAAAGCAGTAGAAGATGGCCCAAGTCCTTGGGCTGCTGCACCCGCATGGGAGACCCGGAAGAAGCTCCTGGCTCTTGGCTTCGGATCAGCGCAGCTCCGGCCGTTGCGGCCATCTGGGTTGTGAACCAGCAGATGGAAGATCTCTCTCTGTAACTCTGTCTTTCAAATAAATAAAACAAATCCTTAAAAAAAAAATAGGTATACTGAACCAGACACCTGTCTTCCTATTGTTGTGACAGGTGAGTCCGTGAATAAACACAGCCCATATGTAACAGTATGAAACCAGATTTTTTTGACGGTGGTTTTGCTGTATTTAAGAATTAATACCCAGCTGAAATTAAAGAGAGACAATAGAGGCCAGCACTATGGCACAACAAGTAAAGTCACTGCCTGTAGCACTGGTATCCCAAACAGATGCTGGTTCAAATCTCGACTGCTCCACTTTCTGATCCAACTCCCTGCTAATGAGCCTGGGAAAGCAGCAGAAGATGGCCAAAGTGCTTCAGGCTCCTGGCTTCGGACGGGCCCAATTCTGGCAGTTGTAGCCATTTGGGGAGTGAATTGGCAGATGAAAGATCTCTCTCATCTGTCTCTGCCTCTCTCTTTCTGTAATTCTGCCTTTCAAGTAAATAAATAAATCTTTGAGAGAGAGAGAGAGAGAGAGAGAGAGAGGCAGTAACAGAAAAGACAAAGGAAGATGTAAAGGTCATAGAACTATTGAGGAAGAGGAAAGTGATTAAGATTTCTATTTCCAAACCACAAAGCAGATACTCAGTTGGGTTTTAAAAAGGTAAACTTGAAATTCAGTGTTTTGAATTTCTAAATTATTTGACATACATAATCTTACCCAGTGACACAAAGTTGCTATAGTTCTCTAATATCACATCTCTGTACAAATTCCTCTGATTTGAGTTCAAGCATTCCCACTCTTCCTGAGAAAAGTCTACAGTCACATCTTTGAACATCACCAAATCCTGAAACGACAAACCCGTGTATTATTTGTAAGATTAAAGAAAATATCTGCATGATGGAAGAAATTTTCCATGAACAGGCTGGGGCTGGAAGCCCGTGATATGGGTAGGTGGCAATAAGGAAGTGTGTGTGACTGAAACAGTTTCTACATATTCTTAAAGATTTCTATTAATCTAGAGGTTGGCAAACATTTTTTGGTAAAGGGCAATCTTCTAGTCTTTGCATGCCACAAATAGTCCCACATTCATCTCCATTTTTGGTTAAACAGTTCTTTTACAATGTAACTGGCTTGCAGGCTGTACAAATATAGGTCATGTGCCCAATCTTCCTTACAGGCCAAGTTCATAGTATTTGTAGTTTGTCCATCATTGCAACAGCCAAAACTTTCTATATAGCATGGGATATCTAAAATTATTTATTTCCAGACATGCTCAGGTAATCTTTGGAATTTTCCAATTAACTCAAATAGGTTTAAAAAGATACCACCTGTTAAAGGCTAGAAAAATCCTCAATAAATAAATGTGATTTATTGTTTCTTCTTTGCTTTTAAGAATTAGAAAAATGGTAACTTGGAAATTTCTCCCTCAAATTAACTGTAAAATATCTATTTTAAAGAGTAGAACTTCCACAAAATTAAATAATTTTTTCCAGGTCCAACTTTATTATATGGCATCATTAGTATTTTTCCTCAGTATAATAAATCCTGTATTCAACGTTTAAATTTACCACACAATAGTCCATTTTATGGATATGTCAGACTTAGTAATGAGTCTGTTTTTCTATAATGTTAAACATATTAAATTTAAAATTTATGTTATACAAAATCCTAAAATTGCAATGTCAAATATGCTGGCTAGTTGAAATTCAGATGTGAGTAAATGCAAAATATATACCAGAGAGCAAAGCCTTTAGAAAGGAAATATTTTGAATATCTTAATAATATTGGTTATTCTTTGAAATATTTGTTATATTGGTTATTCCTTGAAATAACCTTTTGACTACAATGTGTTAAGTAAAGCATTAAAATTAATTGTATCTGTTTCTTTGTATTTTAATTTGTTACTAAAATATTTAAGATCATGTGTGTGCCTTGCATATTATCCTACACTTTTAAAATATGAGTCCTAGAAAATTTTAAATTACATATCTACCTCACATTATAATTATTTTGGACAGTGCTATTCTAGGGTGTTTTTCAGCCTTAAAACTCTCAGATAAAAATACCCTCTTCCTGGGACTTCACTTCTGTTCCAGCTCTGCTCTAGACAGAGGCAGAGCAAGCACACAGGAGGGGTACCCCTCAGTGGAATGAGAGAGACTGGGGAGCATCCGTTGAATGGGGCATTAAGAAATTTCAGAACAACAAATGGGAATGTTAACATAATTTGAAAAACAATGACAGTTTCAAATAGAAACACCAACTTACATGAGCCATTATTTTAGTATTACAAGAACTGGTCATTTTCCCGGGGGTTCATTTACTGGAGAAGCAGAATCCACAGAAAGGAGGGCTGGGGGAAGAATGTAAAATCATGAGAAAAACGATTGCCTCAGAGTTTCCAAAATCTATTAAAAATCTATTTTACTTCTCCATTCCTACACACAACTCCTGCCTCCAGCACATGGACAAGCTATGAAAGTAAGATGTAAGTTAGACAAATATATATTATCCCTAAAACCACAGGGAAATCAGCCCACAAGAGAGACAGATGGACAGAAGAGTCTCCCAAAGGGAGGCACACGCCCAGACACTTGGGCAGGGGGGCTTCTACGCAGACCCGCCGTGGGCAGATCCTCTTCCTACCTTCCCAGCTGAGAAGGGGCTATGCCATCTAACTAGAACTTCCTTTTTGGTCTTAGGAATTTGGCAACCTCCCAAAACCTGCAGACAGAAAATGTCATGCGTTAGAATTGCTCAAACATTGCTGCAACTTGGAATCACTTGAAGATCTTTTCAAATTACCGACGCCCTGGAGACTGGCACTGCAGCTCAGCAGTCAAAGCCACAGCCTACAGCACCAGCATCCATCTGCTATGGACACCGGTTCAAATCCCAGTTGCTCCACTTCTGATCCAGCTCCCTGCTAATGTGCCTGGGAAAGCAGTGAAAGATGGCCCAAGACCTTGGACCGCTGTCCCCATGCAGGAGACCTGGAAGAAGCTCCTGGCTTCAACCTGGTCCAGATTGGTAGTTGCAGCCATTTGGGGAGTGAACCAGTGAATGGATGATCTCTCTGCCTCTTCTGTTAATTCTGCCTCTCAAATAAATAAATATTTTTTAAAAAGTTCCTGCTGCCTGGCTCCCAAACCCAAACACTGAATTATCATAGTGGGACTTGGAATCAGGATTTTTAAAATTAAAATCTCCCTCTGGTGATTATAATGTGCAGCAAAGTTTGGTAATCAAATTCTAGTATACACCAGAATCACCTGGAAGGCTTGTTAAATCACAGATTGTTAGGATCCACTCCCAGAGTTCAGTGTTCAGTAGCCTTGTGGCCCAACTTGAGTTGAATTCCAAAAAGTTTCCAGGTGATGTTGATGCTACTGGTTCCGATGCCACTATTTGAGAAAAACACCTGCATAGATCATGCCCAGTAGCCTTTACCACAGTGACACTGCACTAAGTGGGATCCCTTCTCCCAGGCTTACCTACCTACCATTCTCAGATCCTCAGAGCTTAATGCTCACTCTTTTCCTGTTTAGGATCACCAAGATCGCCAGCACAGTCTCTAGTACCACTCACTCTTTCTTGGCACCCAGACTGGGGAGAAGTAAATTTATGAAACCTGAGTATAGATAATTCTCCAGGAAATAGAAATAACCTGTTGATTCAATTGTTAAATGGGCTTTTGGGGAGTGAACTAGCAGTTGAAAACTCTGTCTTTATCTGTCTCCATCTCTTAAAAAAGTATAAAAATCTGGCTGGCGCCACGGCTCACTAGGCTAATCCTCCGCCTGAGGCACTGGCACCCCGGGGTTCTAGTCCGGGTCGGGGCACCGGATTCTGTCCCAGTTGCCCCTCTTCCAGGCCAGCTCTCTGCTGTGGCCAGGGAGTGCAGTGGAGGATGGCCCAAGTGCTTGGGCCCTGCACCCCATGGGAGACTAGGATAAGTACCTGGCTCCTGCCATCGGATCAGCGCAGTGCACCGGCCACAGCGCGCCAGCCGCGGCAGCCATTGGAGGGTGAAGTCCTTGGGCCCCTGCACCCACGTGGGAGACCCAGAGGAGTCTCCTCGCTCCTGGCCTCAGATCAGCAAAGCTCCAACCATTGCAGTCATCTGGGGAGTGAACCAGCAGATGGAAGACCTCTCTCTGTCTCTACCTCTCTCTGTAACTTTTTCAAAATAAATAAAATAAATCTTTTTTTTTAAAGTATTTATTGATGGGATCAAAAAAACCTGAAAAGAATCTACATATCCTTCAATATTGTTATATAAGTTATCCTGTATTCATACAATGGAAAATTAAGTAGTCATTAAAAATGAGGGTAAAATTTTCATCTAGTGTCAGCATTGTGGCATAGTGGGTAAAAGCACTGCCTATGATGCCGACATCCCATACAGACACTGGTTCTAGTCCCAGATGCTCCACTTCCAATCCAGCTAACTGTTAACTCCCTGGGAAAAGCAGCAGATGGCCCCAGTACTTGGGCCCCTGCCACCCACGTGGGAGACCTAGATGAAGCTCCTGGCTCCTGGCTTTGGTCTGGCCCAATCCAGCCATTGCAGCCATCTCGGGAGTGAACCAGCAGATGGAGATTGATCCCCACCCCCACCCCAGCTCTCCCTGTCTTTGTCTCTGTAACTATGACTTTCAAATAAACAAATCTTTTTTAAAAAATTCAATTCTGGGGCCGGTGCTGATCACTCCCCAGTTGGCCATAACAGCCGGAGCTGTGCCAATCCGAAGCCAGGAGCCTCTTCTGGGTCTCCCATGTAGGGGCAGGGGCCCAAGGACTTGGGCCATCCTCTATTGCTTTCCCTGACCATAGAAGAGAGCCGGATGGGAAGTGGAGCAGGATGGGAAGTGGAGCAGCCAGGACTCGAACCAGCACTGCAGGCAGCAGCTTTACCCGCTATGCCACAGCGCCAGCCTACATAAATAAATCTTTAAAAAACAAAAATTATTCTTGCTCACAAATCCAGAAATAATTACTACTTTAGAGTTTATTTTCCCAAAACATTTCTATAAGCATGAGTTTTTGTATGGTTTTATTTCTGAAAATAGGATAAGATCCCAAGATTGCTAGTTTTTTTATTTAAATAAGAAATTTAGTGCTTTCATGGATTTTCCCTCCTCCCACCAAAATTAATCATTTATAAATATTTACAATAGCTCTGTATTCACTCTTAAGAGATTTTTGTTGCCCTAAAAGCAGAGAGACAGAGATCAAAGACTCCTTGTTCTGAATCTCTGTTGTGGTCCACTTGAGCATCTGGTTCAGTTTCCTGCTTGCAAACATCCATCATAATTAACTTCACATTTTCACTACCCTAGGGAATACAGAAAGCTGACAGGCAATAAATAAACATCATCATTTAACAGCAGTAGTTAGTATTAATGAAGGACTACGTGCCAGGTTCTCTTCTGAGAGCTTTATAATAATAACCCTTGACTTTCCACAGAAGGAAACCCGGGGCACAGAGACCGCCCAAACTCACTCCGCTCGAAGTGGCAGCCAGGACTGAGAGACCCTCTTAATGCCGGCTGCACACCTTCACCACTACACTACACTTCTCTCAGTCTACCCGAAGAGACAGCCAAAAGAAATTCAGGATACCCAATCTCAACCATGCCTGGCCGGTTCCAAAAAGTTCCACCCATTAATTCCTCGGAAAAAAAAAAAAAAAAAAAAAAGAAAAGTCTCCACTCCCACTCCGGAATCGTTAAAGATATCCAAGCCCTAAAGCACTCTTTAACAAAAACAAAAGGTGATCATTAACCTACAGCCGCGGTATCTCCCTAGAAGGCCAGGGCTCACGGCGCAGCTCAACACAGCACATGGTTAACTGCACGACCACACGAAGTGGACACTATGAACAGAAACCTATTCGTGACGCCTCAGAACATCAACTAGGTAGGGAAACCCTAAAGTGCAAACCAATAAATCATTCTTAAACTGGACTTGTCGAGCGGAGGAAACCCAATCAAGTGCACGCCACGGAAACAAAGAAACGCCGCCAACCCACGCGGAACCCGGCTTGTGGAGGGGCAGCAGCGGCTCCTGTCACCCGATGGGGCTTCCCTCTCCGGCGGCAGGCAGAGCCGGGGCAGCAGACACCCCAGGCTTTTCCGGGGCCGGTCAGAGCCCACCGCCCACGCTGCCCCGGCCCCAGCTCCTCCCACCTGGCGTGCACGAATGGAAGCTGGAGTCAGACGCGAGAGGAGCCGCCGACACTGAGGTCTGGGTTCGCGGCTCTCTGCGAGGACACCAACTGTCCAGCCCCCAGTCGAAGTCCTGGCTTCCTGCAGGGGACTCTCATAGTGGGGCGCCACCTCTGGTTTCCCTCTCCAGTCTTTCTCTACAGCCGGTGGCAGCGGCGAGGGACCTTAAAGGTCTCGCAGTCCACGCTAGGCCGCACCCACAAAGCCGGTCCCGCACCGTGGTTACCGCCGCACCAGGCTCCCGGCCTCCGGAGCGCACGGCTCCACGACCAGAAAATGCACAGCACCCTTCTCCCGCCCCCCGCCCCGGGGGTCTGTCCCTCAGAGCCTGGCCGGCCCCGCGCTCCGTCCCCCTGAAAAGCGCCGGCCACAGCGCAGCCTGGACCACGGTGCTCGGCGCTCACCAGATTCCGAGGGCGGCCCGGCGGTCCAGTCAGCCGCGCCAGGACTCCGGAGAAGGCCGGGCTCGGTGGCGACTGCGCAGGCGCCCGCGGCCACTGTGGGCTCCGAGGGGCCAGCGGGGCGGGGTCCCGGGGGGCGGGGAGGGGCCGGTGTCGGGTGCCACAGCCCTGCGAGGGGACCCGTTTGGTAACACTGATGAGGATAACCGGGTCTCCCGTAGCAACCGGAGTCCGAGATCAGAAAGCTGTATAATTCGCCTTTCTTTTGATTCTTGGCTCGGCGCCCCGACCCCCAGGCGCCGAGACCCCAGCTCTGAAAAATGACTCCTGTCCGGTGTGCGCAGGCGCGCGGGGACCGGCGCCAACCCGCCGCCTTTCAACCCGACCCGGGGCCTGCCGGCTCGCACCGGCCCAGGCAGGTGAGAGGGAGTTCTTGGGTGATGTCGTGTGGTAGGCCGGCATATAGAATAAAATGGATTAGGTTTGTGAGCTGGAGGACCACGCCCCTGTGTGACTGCACGCCCTTACCTGGCCGCACCTGTACACCCACCGGCCAATCAGGTTGATTAACCACGCCCCTTTGCAAGTGGATTAGCCAAGGACACAGTATGCCCGCCCTCTCCTTTCCTTGGCTTTTTCAGGCCACCCGCCCCACGCTTCCTGGCCTAGATGCTCCTCCACTGGCTGGTTCCTGGTACTCAGTATAAACCCAGATTTACCTCTCTCCTATAGGTAAAGCTCTCAGTCTCCTATGCACTTCTCTCACTGAATAAAAGCTTAAAAATGAATCATGCTGCCTCATTTATCTACCCCAGTATTCAGAATTCTCTGAATATTAGGCAAGAACCCACACTGGTTTATTCATATTGGGAATTTATTAATAAGCACACTGTGATATCATATGGCACCCCAGATGGGACTTTTGGGGGACTCTTAGGGACCATATTCGGATGTAATATTTTAGGGGACTAGTTCTGATATCAATGGGGGAGAGTTTATTAATAAAATCTACCATCACAGTCTGTGAATATTTAATTCTGGCTTAAAAATGTATTGGACTATGAAGAATATGAGAAAATGTTAATTTAAACTTTTTAAAGTTAAAGTCACAAAATTCACTCCAGGACAGTGGATTTAAGTAAACTTTCTTTAGTTTAAAGGTAATATGAAAAAGTGATATCTCAGCGGTAGACTTCAGAAAGCACTGAACACTTTTATTTATTTGAGTGGTAGAGTTACACATAGAGGGAGAGACAGAGAGGTATACCATCCACTGGTTCACTCCCCAAATGATCTTAAGGGCCTCTATGCCAATCCGAAGCCAGGAGCCAGGGGCTTCTTCCTGGTCTCCCATGCGGGTGCAGGGGCCCTAGCACCTGGGCCATCTGCTGCTTTTCCAGGCCACAGCAGAGAGCTGGATTGGAAGAGGAGCAGCCAGAACTGGAACCGGTGCCCATAAGGGATGCTGGCACCACAGGCAGAGAATTAACCTGCTGAACACTTTCTTATAATAACTCACAGCAGATGCCAATTAACAGTGAAATTAAAAAATGAATGGCAATTTATAACCACCATCATATATAACTCTTGGAACCAAATGATAGACTATTTAGATATGAAAGGTATAGTAAACATATTAAACAATGCATATTTAAATATATTTCAACTTTTGTGTACTAGCAATTTGTTTCTGTCAACATATGGGAAAATACTACAGTAAGACTAAAGGCTCCGGGCCAGCACAGTGGCGCACTAGGTTAAGCCTCCGCCTGCAGCGCCGGCATCCCATATGGGTGCCGGTTCTAGTCCTGGCTGCTCCTCTTCCGATCCAGCTCTCTTTATGGCTTGGGAAAACAGTAGAAGATGGCCCAAGTCCTTGGGCCCATGTACCCACGTGAGAGACCTGGAAGAAGCTCCTGGCTCCTGGCTTCAAACGGGCCCTGTTGCCATTTGGGGAGGACTCTACAACCCAAGCAGAGGAGGAACCGCTGCACTTCCCAGGACTCCCGCTCCGTTTGGTCAGCAGCAGCAGCAGCAGCAGCAGCAGGCCCTGAAAGTCAGAGGGTGCAGGGGCAGCTGGGCCCGGCCATTGGTGCTGCTGTTTCCCCGCAGTCTTTGCGCGAGTGCACTCTCCCCCTACACTTTGATCCCCGTCCCTTTCTTGGCTCGCAGGTTCTACCTGGGCCTCTGTAGCTGCAGACTGAAAGGAGTGAGCAATGCCTCTGGCCGAGTGGGGAGTGTAGAACTCAGCTTCCCCCGTGTTCCCCTCCTCGCTGTCCTGCTTTATGGAGCTGCTCCCCATGAGCCGCGCCCCCACCTGGCTGCCTTCCCTCTGTGTACCCTGCTGGCTCAGTACAAGTGGCTGCACCTGCCACTCAATGGGTTCTCAGGCAGGATGCAGTACGTACACCCCACAGATCCCAGGCAACCTTATCTCAAAGCTCTGGTCCTGAAATCAAAGTAACTGAGTGCTTTGTGCTCACAACTGGAAGACATTCTGTGGCTCAGTTACTACATGAGGAAAACTGTGCCACATGAGCCAGTAGTCACCTTGATACTGCCTGGGACATCCAGTTGTCCCTAAGACTCTGCAGCAGAAGAGACAGCAGGAAAAGAGTAGCCAAATAGGAGTGCCGGGCAAACTGAGCGGCAGGACATTCAGAAGGGATCCCAGAGCAGTGGGAGGAACAGTGGTGAAGTGCTCACTTCACATCCCCCACGCACCAGCTCCGCCACAGCTGCCTCGACCCACAGACTGATGGCCACACTCCTCATCTACCAAGAGGGAGACAGGGTCCAACACTCGACCTGTGACCTACTTCCCTACTGCCCTCCTGCTTTGGTGGCCAGGCTTGTCCCCTGTGTTAGGAACTTCTTTGAAAAAATAAGCGGGCTCAAGAATCTGTTTCCGCTACCAGTTCCAAACCGGTTTCATTCAGGCCCCCAAAAGAAGTCCTCTCTAAAGCCAGTTAGAACTGGACAGAACAGACTTGTTCAAGAATGTGGTGGTCATTGAGGTTTCACCTCACCCCCGTTAGAATGGCTTCCATACAGAAATCAGCTAACAGCAGTTGCTGGCGAGGATGTGGGGGAAAAGGCGCACTAATCCACTGTTGGTGGGAATGCAAACTGGTAAAGCCACTATGGAAGACAGTTTGGAGATTGCTCAGAAACCTGAAAATAGCCCTACCACATGACCCAGCCATCCCACTCCTCAGAATTTACCCAAGGGAAATTCAATTGGCAAATAAAAGAGCTATCTGCACCTCAATATTTATTGCAGCTCAATTCACAATAGCTAAGACATGGAAATCAACCTAAATGCCCATCAACAGAAGACTGGATAAAGAAATTATGGGATATGTACTATATGGAATACTACACAGCAGTAAAAAAAAAAAAAAGAAAAGAAATCCGGTCATTTGCAACAATGGAGGAATCTGGAAAACATCATGCTGAGTGAAATAAACCAGTCCCAAGGGGACAAATATCATATGTTCTCCCTGATCTGTGACAACTAACTGAGCACCTAAAAGGAAACCTGTAGAAGTGAAACCGACACTATGAGCAACAATGACTTGATCAGCCCTTGTCCTGTCAAGGAACAGCTTACTATTTTATTCTTTTTAGTATTTTCTTGTTCTACTTAATACCATTGATTGAACTCTTTAATTAACGCACAATTATTCTTAGGTGTTTAAAGTTAACTGAAAATTGATCCCTGTTAAAATAAGAGTGGGAATAAGAGAGAGAGGAGATGTATAGTTTGGCACACCCTCAGAATTACCCCTAATGATAGAGCTAGAAATGTGCTGTGGGACTCCAAATCCCATTAAGTTGGCATGTACCAATGCCATCTTACTAGTTAAAGTGATCAGTTTAAGTTCATAATTGATCATAAAGATAGGATTAAGTATCAAAGGGATCACATAAATAAGACCAGTGTCTGCTAATAATGATTGATAGAATTAAAAAGGAGAAAATGATCCAACATGGGAAGTGGGATACACACCAGACTCATAGAATGGCAACTGCCCTAAACAGCACTCTGGCCT